GTTGCCGACGAAGTTGTTCATGGTGATTCCTGATGGAATGAGTTTGTCGTTAGATCGTCGTAGTGCCTTCATGACGGATATGGGCATGATATTGACCATAGCCCCACAATTGACGAAGATTTTGGAGATTGGATAACCTTTAATATGAGCCTTGACATACAAAGGCTTCAAATGTTGAAGATTAATCAAAGAAGAGCTAGGAAACAATACGGCTAGAGCTGCTTTAAGTTTGTCATCTTTACCGGCGTGCCCATCTTCCTCAGTGGTGATGAAATCGACTTGTGTTCCTTCCTCGGTAACCATGTCCTTATCCAAGAAAATTGGTTGGTGTGTGTTTGGTTGAAATTCAGCAGGTAAAACATGGACCATGCTGATTTCCATATTTTTGAGGACTGAAGGGCCCATCGGGTCTTGGTCATCATCTTTCGGGTTTTCGAGTGCGGTATCATGCTTTGGAGTATTCACGACCTAATCATCTTTCACCTCTTCAGGTACCTGCTCTCGTGGTATATCAACTGAACCTATTTCATGCCGGTTGTCGTCATTGAGCTTATTCGTTGATGAGGTTTGATTGTGTCCTTGTACTGTTTTACAGGTTCGTTCTTCATAGGCGATTCGGGTGTCCCACAGGGCCGAAGAAACATACGACTAAAAAGATTTCAAAATGATGTCATAAATACTGAATATCTTTAAGAGAAAAAGGAGCTCGGCGGTGTCTATATCGGTGTACGGGTCGACCTCGAAGCCGAGGATTTGAGCTTCTTATATGCGTTGGAATCTGGCCTTCATTGCTAGATCAGTGGTTTTTTGGATAATCTGTTCAGCGTCAAGGCAAGTTAAGGCCAAGTCGAGGGCTTCTTGACACGTTTTTGGTAGGTCGTACAAGTCATTAGCAGAATGTTTCTTGTGAAATCTCGCATGTACTCTAGGGACTCTCCGAGAAATGGAGGGTGTAGATTCCGTCGGACTCTTACTAACTGCTCTTGCGAGGGTAGTGAGGGACTTGCTTTCGGCTTCTTTTTGAAATGCTTAAAACGAGCTTTCATTTCCCCGGGCCCAATGAGGAGTTTGATGCACTTCTCGGATTCTTCAATGGTGGTTTCAAAGTCGCAATCAATTACCTTTTTCCCTTGAAGTAATTCGGCCATGATTGTTGGGGGTTGTCGGTCGTCTTTATTTCCTACGGCTTCTTTTGGCTGCCATTTGGTAGCCGAAGTAGCCTGTGTTGCCTGTCGTCAAGCCATGCAGTCTATCCATTGGCATTGACATTTATGAGTTTTGGATAATGCAGTATACATGCCGATATGAGAATTGTAACTATACCAACGTTGGTCTCGTGGCTCAAGTGGCTTAAAGGTTTTTTTGTTCGCCGATGAACTCGAGCTGATGAAGTTATGCAAGTAATAATCCTCATTATAAAACGGGCATCGAAATCAAGGCGTCGCCTGGCTGAAGTTGGGCTGTCTGTTCATATTTGAGGGCCAAGCTTATCGAACAACTTCTGGCACTGGGTTGCGCCGAGTACCTTTAGAGGTGTTGCCGCGGTCGTGGATGATTACTGTGGTGTTAGAACTTGAGTTGCTTTCTCCTTTGGTCCTTTTAGGACGACGTGTGTTTTACAATGGCTACACAAAACCATCAGTCCCTTAGTTTCTTCTGCACTGGAGTCTGACATAGATTTGATTATGGTAGGTCCCGATAACTCTGTAGGTGGTTCGTTTGAAAATAGATCAAGCTTGAGTTGCGGCTGAGAATTCTGCTTTGGGACATGTTGTATTAGAATGAACTTGACCTTCCTCTTCCCTTTGTTTTTGGGCAAATGAGCATCTACCATGCCAACTGTCGCTGAAGGGAAGGGATCAACATCGACGATCATCTGTTTTTCAGGAAATGTTAGCTTGCCTTTATCAATCCAGCTTTGAATAGCATCACGGAACACGATGCAGTTGTTTGTGGTATGCTTATTCGAGTTATGGTACTTACAATACGTTTTGCCTTTCAGTTCTTCGGCCTTTGGAGTGTTATATCCTGGGCGAAGTTTAGTGATCTTTGCCAGTAACAACTGGTTGAAATTGCATCAGCCTTGGTGATATCAAAGGTGTAAACTTTTGATGTTTTCATTGTCTCTTTAGAAGCCAAGCGGGTTTTGGCCTCCTTGGAATTAATTTGAACCAAAGCCTTGTATATGTACGGTTTGTCTATCACTATCTCGGTCGCGTCCACACTGACGTATCTGGAATTCTTGCCTTCGGCCGATGCATAGTAACCGTGGGATTCTTGTAAATCGTTCCCTAGGATGGGGATTTTGAGATCTTGTATTCTCGGAGCAAATAATTATATTTCTCAACGTGTTGGGGCAGTTCGTACATATCTTGGAAGTTTGCCCCTAAGAATTTCTTTTTATATTCCACATCCAAGCCGTTCAAAACGATTCTGATGAATTTAATTTCAGGGAGAGGTACTTGGCACCAATTTCCGGCCTACTTGAACCTCATTAAGTATTCCATTGGCAACTCGTCAGATGTTTAAGCCATCCTAGCCAGTGATGAAACTGATATTTCCATCCATGACCGATAGAATTGTTCATGGAAATTCTTAACCAGTTCCTCCCAACTTTGAATGGAATTAGGCGGGAGGTTGATGTACCAAGCGAATGTTAAACTTGTTAGTGAGAAGTTGAATAATCGCAGTTTATGGAAGTCGCTATTAACATCTCCGCATTGTGCAATGAATTGAGCAACATGTTCGAACAAAACAGGGACGATTCGCTAGCAAAAAGGATGAAGTTTGGGATTTTGAAACCTTTAGGATATTCAAACTTCTCTACATAAGCTGGGTATGGATGGATAAACTTTGGGAACTTTGGCCCTTTTTTTAAGGGCGAATCAATCATTTTTTGGACCTCGATCACATTAACGGATGCTGTTTCCTCTCTCTGATCGGACCCGTCTGATCTACTGCTTGATCTTCCTCTTTTTCCAAATTGATCATTTTGAGCCGAGTAGATCTTGTTTCAGCCTATAGCGTTGATATCAGATTACCCTTAGGTGAAAGTTGCCGAGAATGATCGGTGTGTCCACCATCGTAAACTTTACTAACCAAAAGTTCGAGCATTTTGTTATGTGCCTCACCATTACTGCGAATTACTTTAAGTATGCTCCTTACTTCTCGATTGAAAATCTGAGATTGCTCTTCGAGTCTTCTCCAAAGAAAAGATCTAGTCGGTGGATCAGAACCTTCACGACCATCTTCATCACAATCTTCGATTATTCCTTCGACAAAAATTGCTTTTGTCGCTCTGGTGGTGTTCTCCGTATCATGAGCTTGTCCGTCAAGACTAACTTCCTTTTCTCGGTGTGTCACACTCGTGGCTTCGGGTGTGATTGCCGCAGAAGGATTCTGTGCTTGTAATAGGCCATCATGATCTAGGTTTTAAACCTTACGTGGAAGGTTAGTCACTGATTTACCCATTCCTATTTTCTTTTTTTCTGACCGTATCTCAATGGTCATGAACTTCGTAGCTTTAGCAATGGGTCCCCCTGGGTGTGCCAAAATGTTGACCCTAAAAACTACTAAGCCTATGTGGCGCACATGCCGAGTAATTAATAAGCTAACGACATCATTCAGTTGTGCGCAGGGCGTGCCAACTCGTCGGCCGAGCTTGATCGAGGAGTAAAATGTGTTGATGTCACGTTGCTGACTTCTTGATCTTGCGACTGCAGTCGAGGAAGGAACACGTCTCGGTCTTCGGGTGCTAGAGCCTGAAGACAAGGCTGCTAGTTCTGCGAAGTTCAATATCAAATTCGGCTTTCAATGTGCCGAATATAGTAACCTGTAACACCTCACTTCGTCGAGAAGGCTAATGAGATGACCTCTGCCAATAAAGATTCGAAAATCCTTCTGGACCGAAACTTGGATGGATAACCAGTCGATGTCGACGCAGTGTTGTTTATCCAAACTGAAGATGCTCTGCGGTCCACTGATTCTACGGCAACAACAGTGCTGTTATCCAAACTGAAGATGTTTGCCGGTTGCCTTTACAGTGCTGTTTATCCAAACTGAAGATGTGTCGACGGGAAAAAGAAAATAAAAATCTCAAGGTTGTTGAGAGGTTTCGCGTAGAGTGAGAGTTTGCGCATGACATTTTGTGTGTTGAATTGGAGAGAGCTTTAGAATGATGCACCCCCTTCTTATTTATAGCAGCCAATCTCGTTATGGCCGATCCAGAACTATACTCGGATTAGGATTCTTTATCCTAATCTGACTAAGTCTCGACCAATCCTGCCTCCATTAGGACTTTGAACCAAGCTCTTTATCCGGTCACATTTTTTCTCAAATCTCAGCATCCTCGTCCTATTGAGACTTCTTGTTATGCTAGGATTCGACTTTCCCATCAATCTGTCTCATACTAGGACTCGACCTATCTTAACCGAGCGGCCCATAATAACTAAAATTCGCAATGATTCTAGAATCATACTGCCGGGCTGAGAACAACTCCTAACTCAGCCCACACCAACATTTTGGGCCCAAACAATGACTTAATTACATTTTTGTGGCATCAACTTTTGGCTATATTTGCAACTACACTCATACATGTTATGTTTTAGGGAAAATGTTAGTTTGTGAATAAGGATTTAGAACTACATGTGTTTTTGCACTCTTCCATTCATGTTGGTACAATAACATGTTTCTCCTACCAAAAAAAAAACAAAAAAATCATATCATTTGCGTGCTGCGTTTCATTATTTTTTTTAGCGTTTGTTTATGGGAGCTTAACAATACGAAAGAACGTTTATGCAATTATCCGCTGAACGTGCCATAGTTGTCCATCCTGTTAACGACCATCGTTTTTTTCCCTCAGACTATTGGCTTCTGTCCGTGTCTTCGTTGTCTTCTTATCCTCCTAATCGGAGAAGAAGGGGGGCAAAATCAAATCCCAGCTGTACGTCGTCGTTTTCTAAGGCTTCCCATTCTTCGTCCTCCGAATGCGATGGCGTCGGCACAGAAACAATCCGCGAATGTGGATCTCTTCGATGCGTATTTCGGACGAGCGGATTTGGACCGCGATGGGCGGATTAGTGGCAATGAAGCAGTCGCTTTCTTCCAGGGCTCAGGTCTCCCCAAACAGGTCCTTGCGCAGGTACTCTCTCTCTCTCTCTCTCTCTCTCTCTCTCTCTCTCTCTCTCTCTCTCTCTCCCCCCATATATATATATATATTCTTATACATATATTTGTATAATTGGATGTGTATTGTAGTGTGTATGATTATCTTTGTGTAATTATAGTGGTTGATCAGGATTTGATGCTGGTAGAAATGTGTTTCAAATCAGATTGATTTTGAATTGGTAGTCTAATTGTAGTTGAAGTGGTTAATGTGAGCTCGGGATGTCGTAATTCTCTGATCTAAGCTGAGATTTTTATTTTGTGTTAGTATAATTCGGAATTGATGTTCAAATGGTAGAAAATAAGTAGATGAAGGATTTATACTATAGATAGTGAGGTTGAGAGAGTTATGTTATCAGGTCATCAGGTCATTAATTTACTTTCTGGTGGATCTGTTCGACCTTTAGAAATGTCTTATATGACCCAAGGATTGACCTAGGATTGTTTATTACATTACAATAATGTAGTTGTAATGTAACTGAACTGATGCATCTTTGCAGAACTTGTACTCTCCCTATCCCGGAATTAAAGTTGTTTATTTTTCCTTGTCTGACAATGTTTAGTTGGTGGCATTTAGCTTGAATTCCTGAACATAACAGGCTAGATCAACGATATTTTTGTGCGAGATGCTTTGCTGCTGGATTGTCATTCTTTGCATGATGTGTTTGTATTTTGATGTAAAAACCTACTTGATGTGAAAAATATTTGTAGATATAAAATTTTATTTGTAATTGAGAGTAATTTTTTGCTGGCCAAGAGGCATACAATCATCCATAAGTACTGTTAAAGTGAGTCATGTCTAATGTTCAGTCTAGATATAGAATGACTACCGATCATGCCACATTATCTTGAAAGAGAACATGTCATTATTCCATATGAAAATTCAGGGTGCGTTAAACGCTCATATAGTAATTTCTTTGAGCTGATAGTGCAGGCATGGACATTGTACATTGTTACAGTTATGCACCTATATAGTATGACCACAGCCATAACTTTTGGAAGCTATAAGTTCCCCCACTCTTAACGTTATGCTCTTGTTTACATCCATCAGAGGTTTTAAAGCAGGTGTGGGATTTGTCCGATCAGGATAATGATAGCATGCTTTCTGTCAGGGAGTTTTGTGTTGCAGTATATTTGATGGAGCGGTTAGGGATGCCCTCTTCCAGCAGTGCTACCAAGTAATGTTATGTTTGATTTATCCAATATTTTTCAACCTGAAAATAATTACTCCAATGCTGTCAATGTAGCCTGCATCTGGTATTTATCAAGAAAACAAATTAATAATTTATTTATTTATTATTATTTTTTTAAAACCATATGTCTTTCTTTGGTGGAGTATAGTTTCTTATTTTTCACTTTAAAAGGATTTCAACAACAGCGACTGGTGCCTGGTCCTGATGCTCGGCATATGTCTGTCTTTGGAATTCTTGTGATTGTGGGTTTTACTTTGTTCTTAATATCGCTCATTTCTGTGGGGAAGATTTTGATCAAGATTTTGAAGTTCATGATCAGTTCTTTTATATTAGTAATCTTAATGATTGGCACTTCACATGTTTTTAGTGCATGGCATTCATTATACTTTTTATTTTTTATTTTTTTATAAGCATTCATTATACTTTATTGCAGTTTTGTTCCATTCTCAGCTTGTCTTTCCTCATCCTTCTGATGCAATTCCCTTGGTTGTGCATATTGAACATTCTACAGTAGTTTTAAATTTTGCGTTTGAATATAATTGTTCTACGAGTGGTAGAGTTTTGGACGTCCTAATCATTAGTTGCTTTTAAATAATTGGCAGACTTCTATCTCTTTGATTTCTGCAGTGTGTAAGATTATTTTTATTTTTTTTTTGAACTATTGGATGTTTGTGGTCTGAATGAGTATTGATTCTTGAATTGACAAGTACTTTTGGGAGGAAGTGCAGATCATGTGTTTTATCATTGTCCTATTGCTTTATATGTGTGGCTAAGATTGTGTAGGGAAGGAAATGTAAGTTGGGTAATTCCGGCAGGGTACATAAGTAGTTTGGTGGTGATATGAAGGCTTTTGTGAGGGTGCAGTATGCCAGCAATTTTTGGAGTTTCTTCGTTTGAGAGAAACACGAGTATCTTTGAAAACGATATTTGGGTGAGGACTAGTTACGGAATAAAGTTAGATTTTGTTCACCACGTTGGCTGACCATTTTCTCAATTTTATGATCCATATTATTTGATTGGAAAGGTAACTTTTTTTGGATATTCTGATTTATATTGAAGGCCCTGTATGTACAAAGAAATTGTATTGTTCATGTAGTCTAGTTTTTATTGTTGTCCGTTTTATGGTGGGGGACAACTTAACCGAAGAGATTGCATTTTGTTGAGGAGATTGGGTATGCAATTAAAGCATTCCTTCTTATGCACCATAATGGTGATGAAATAAAGATCCAATGGTTGAAGAAGAGAGAGAGAGGGGAAAAGAGGGGGGGGGGGGGGGGGGTAGTGGGCATGGGAAGAACTTATCCTGTGTGTAAATTTAGGGCCACATTTTTAGAAGATAATTATATATTACTGTAGGCTCAGAATATTTTAAAAGGCATTTGACTAAAAAATGTAAGAATTTTGTATCTAGCTACTGGCATAAGGAAATGATGTTTTAAACTTTCAGTTTTTGAATTCTGATTCTGCATATTTGCTTTAATCTGTTTACCATTTGGTATAAGGATTTGTACAAGAGCAGATGTGACAATCGCCTTACAGAGATCACAGAAAGGGCCTCTGCTGATAAATATGAGGTATATGCTGTAGGATACTTGAGCCTAAGCACATATTTGCATTAATCTTTAGCTACTGTCCTGACTTAATGAATACTACATGAATCTAGGCTGAGTCCCTGGCTAAGAAATATGAAGAGAAATACAAACAAGCTGGAGATGTAGCCTCCAAGTTGACTATTGAAGAAGCCACGTTTCGTGATTTACCTGTAGCTTACACCACATATAAATTACAGGTAGCTTACACCATATATAAATTTGTGGACAATTAGTGACCCATGTTGTGTGTTTGCTTTTGCTTATTCGAAGATCAAAGTGTCAAGTGTTTGCCATTCGTTTTATCTGAATCATAATTGCCTGAACATGTGAGATGGCGTGCTTTTATTTTTTATGAGATAAGTGCCAATAAAAATTCAAAAACAAGCATGAGTAGGACATTTTACTTTTTGGAGAAACAAAAAGAAAATTATTTTATAGTTTTTAGGCCTGGAGGGATAGATAGCTGATGACAGAGAGAAAGTAGTGTGGGAAAATAGAATCGGTTGAATGGTCATACCCCAAGTGGTGTATTCTTTTTATTATCATTGACTGAGTATTTTACGTGATTTATATGCAGGAGAAGAAAATGGAGCTAAACAGGGCAGTTGTCAAGATGGAGCAAGAAGGTGATTCTGATGCGCACTTCAGGTACCTTTGCACAATCTTGTGTTTAAAACTTACCTTTGCTCAACTTGTCTTAGAGCGTTTCCAACTGAAATTTTCAGGATCGTGTTGATCACATCCATTTAGATCTTGATGGGCTTGTGAAAACTCTCAATGAGCACCGCAAGAATATGGACTAGGCGGAAAGCCTACAACATTAACTGAGCTTGCCTTTGGTACTTTGATCTCTTTCCTTAGCTAATTTCTTGGGAGTCTAAGAATCTTATAAATAATGATAAGAATACTTCCATTAGCTTATTCTTTATCAAACTATCTGATGGATTGTAGATAGAACACATTGTTGTTGGATATACTTTTACTTTGGGTTTGTCAAATTATTTCAATTTATTAATGGCATTGCCTTTCTAGAACCCAAAAGTCATTCTGTTGTTAAATTATCAAAATCCTACCCAGAAACCCTTATTTTCACTATCGCAATCTTTTTGTAATCACTCTGGTTTGTTTCACTATTGTAAGCGTTTCATGGGTGTGTTATTTTCTTTTTCATTATTGTTCACTGCTGCGGTATTTGTACTACATTGCATTTTGTAAACTGAAATTTTATTTTATTTTCATATAGGCTTGCAACCTGGCATCCAAGAAGGAGCTGCTGACTGGGATGAGGATTGGGATAAGTTTGAAGACAAAGGTATGCCAAAATTAGTTATTATAGGTCCAGTATTGTCTCTGAGATAATAAAATTCTGGTAGCACTTAGATTCCTTTCACCTAATCACCTCGTGGTAAATGGATCATATTGCCTGCTGTTTGTAGTTTCTTTGTCATCTGGTTGTGGTTTGCCAACCTGTTTACGACTTTTAACTATTTGAGGTGACCGATTCAGAAGTTTAATTGTCAGGATTTGCTTTTGTCGAGGAGCTCACTCTTGATGTGTTAAATGTCTTGGCGCCTTCAAAACAGAAATCATCATCAGTTCAGAAAGAAAAAGCTCTCCCAGTTGAGAATCCAACAACTGCTGCTTCACCTGAAGTTGATGTTAAGACAGAAAAGCCTCAAAGTGCAGATGCCAACCCTATCAGGACTGGGTCATCACAAGGAGGTGCTTTTCCCAGAAGAGCCGCCCTTTTACTTTCAACGATTTTGTTCCTATCCTAGGACACCACTCTCAGCCTTCAATTCAGGATATTCACCGCCAAGGTACAAGGATAGTTTAGAACTTTCATTCGACACCTTCTCTAGGTTTGATTCGTTCAGAAGCACACAAGATACTGGATTTTTTCCTCAACCAGAAACACTCAGAAGATTTGAGTCTATGCGCAGCAATGGAGAGTTTGATCAGGGTCATGGTTTTCCAACATTTGATGACATCCCGGACCCTTTTGGCTCTTCGCTGCCATTTAAGTCATCGCTGGACAGTCAAACTCCAAGAAGAGACTTGGACCCCTTTGGATCTTCAGGGCCATTTCGGATCACTCGACGGTCAAACTCCAAGAAAGAATCAGTTTTTTTTTCAAGTCTTCAGTGCCATTTTGGACATCATTCGACAGTCATAACTGCTAGAGGAGACTACTCCATTTAGGACATGATTTGACGGTCAAACTCCAAGAAGAGACTTGGACCCATTTGGGTCTTCAGGGCCTTTCCGGATGACAATGGAGACTCCAAGAAAAGACTAATCGCTGGAGTGCATTTTAACCGGGTAATTGTTCTGCTTTGTTTTTGTGTCTGCTATTCTCCGTTCCAAGCCTTTCTATCGTGGGTGGGACGGGCCTTGTGTTTTATGATTTGAAATCACTCAACTTATGTATCTTTTGTATTTCATTTCTTTTTGTATGCATCTCGCTTGTTCTTCATTCTTTTTTTTTTTTTTTTTTTTCCTTTAGCTTGTTGCGCGACGTATAATTTTTCTCCTTAATTTTGGAATGTTCCTAGTCCTATTGAAGCAAAGACCCCTTTAGTTTTATCGTTGTTACAAATTTGATGATTGTATTATTAAACCTGTGCCTTTCTTTTTTCGGCCTTAATTTGCTGTAATTTTTTTTACCCTCTCTAATGAACTTTGTTCTACCAATTTTTGTTTGGTTCAAACAAGAACAGTGTGTTTTGCTGGTGTTAGTCCAATTGGGCCATTCATATTTTTCGCTCATTGCAGTTCAGCCATCGAACTTTCATGTATTTTTGTAGTTTCGAATGTTCAAACTATCGTGCTTGGTCGTGAGATATTTACTTTGCCCTGGGTTTGGCGTATTAATTAATGTCTAAGTTTATAATATAAAGGTGAATTTCAAGATGCCGCTAGACTTGATTAAAGAAAAAAAAATATGATAGTACACACACTTGTCCATAACCTTGCGCTTTATAATGTATAAACAATTCTAAAATAATAAGAGCCTAGCTGTTTGTCAGTCTTATTCTTGGACAGACAAGTGAGTGCTGTCCTTGAACTTGCCATTGTCTTCAGCGCCATGCAGCCTTCAGCTACAACATTACATAGCATTGGGAGCTCTGGCAAAACTCAACCACAAAACTCAAGCTTGTCGAACTTTGGTGAAGGACAGGTGGGGCAATGACCGGGATACCCCTTGGAAGTTGTAAACAAAGGGATCACTCCTGCAACAAAGGATGTATTTGGGCGGGCAACATCAGGACCAACAGCTTCCCTACCACCTAGACCACAGGCAGGTTCTGGGATCAGACCTCCAAGACACCGGCTAAGGATTCCAAACGATCAAATATCTGGGAATGGCTTTACTCACGACTCATCTATTGAAGATGTTTTGTGCAACCCCATCTCAACCAAAGCAGAATTTTCCCCTTGGAAGCATACCCGTCTCATCAGCCTTGTGCCAGTATCTGCTGGGACCCAGTCTTCAGCCAGACTCAGCAGGCCCAGTCATTTGAAAGAGCAAACCAGTAGGTTCCCAGCTCAGACTAGTGCTACTGGAGTTTCACCTGGAGCTGGGAACTCGGCTTCTAGTCAGTCCCATATGTCATGGCCTAGGATGACTCAAACTGATGTTCAAAAGTACACTAATATTTTTGTGAAAGTTGACACAGACAGTATGGGAAAATCACTGGTGAACAAGCCCGCGGCATATTTGTGAAATGGGGATTACCAAGAGGTAGTACTATTTTCTTTGTATTCATCTTTTGGCTTGTGTTTTACAGGCACAGGTGCCATGTGGTTATTGAAGCTCTTTTCTTTTCATTGTTTCTCTTCTATGTTAGCTGGTAACGAACTGATGCATCTTTGCAAAACTTGTACCATCCCCTGTCCCGGAGTTAAAGTTGTTTATTTTTCATCTTTTGGGTGGTGGATGATTGACAATGTTAAGTCGGTTGCATTTAGCTTGAATTCCTGAACATAACAGGCTAGATCGAGCATATTTTTGTGTGAGATGCTTTGCTGCTGGATGTCCATTCTTTGCATGATGTGTTGGTATTTTGATGTAAAAACTTCCACATGCCATAGATAGTTTGTAGATATAAAATTTTATTTGTAATTGGGAGTAATTTTTTGCTGGCCAATTGACTTACAAATATCCATTATCTTGCCACATTATCTTGAAAGAGAACATGTCTTTTTCAACAACAGCAACTGATGCCTGGTCCTGGTGCTTAACACATGGCACCCCCATCTGGAGGAAGGCCACCGAAGCCAGTTGCTCCTTCTCATGCTAAGGAAAAGCAGCGGCCCAATCAGCAGAATGGGAGATTGCTAGAATTGGAGAAACATCTCGTAAATCAACTGAGTATAGAGGAGGTTAACTCAGTGAACTAAAAATTCAAAAAGCAACCGACGCTGATAAAAGGTACTTCGAACTTTTGTATTTCATTTCTGTGTATGCATCACTTTTTCTTCATTCTTTTTTTTTTTTTTTTTTTTTTTTCCAAACGCCTTTAGCTTGTTGCACGACATATAATTTCTCTTCTTAAGTTTGGAATGTTCCTAGTCCTTTTGAAGCGAAGACCCCTTTAGTTCTATCGTTATTACGAATTTGATGATTGTATATATTGTTAAACAGGGGGTGTGCCTTTCTTTTTCGGCCTTAATTTGCTGTATTTTTTTACCCTCTAATAAAATTTATTTTGCTGATTTTGTATGGTTCAGTTTTCAAACGAGAACAAGTTTTGCTGTTGTTAGTCCAATCGGGCCATTCATATTTTTTGCTCATTGCAGTTCAGCCATCAAACTATCGCATATTTTTGTAGTGTCGAATGTTCAAACTATCGCGTTTGGTCGTGAGATTTTACTTTGCCGTAGGCATGTCGTGTTAGTTAATGTCTAAGTTTATGATATAAAGCCTTGCCTATTTTTCGTCTTATGTCTTGGACAGATAAGTGAGGTATCAAAGTACAAACTTTACGTAAAGTTTTTCCTAATTCTATCGGATAATGATGCTTAAGATTGTTGGATTAAAAGTCCAAATCATTATCTGTTCCACTGGCTTCAGACCCATGATCATCACTTTCGTTTGCTTTGAACTCACTTGATCCACTGGCTTCAGGCTCATCTCTTTGATTCACCACCTTCAGAATTGTCATCTTATCCTGTTTCTTCTTCTACTTTTGGTTCCCTCGACCTGTAGTCATGATCAAATTTGAATTTCTCAACATCTTCGGCATACAATAGGCTTATGCCACAACACAACATTCCACCTTCATATCGTCCAACGGGCAGAATTTAACAGAGGCCTCATTGGCAAGTTTGTAAACATCAAGGGAGCCTTTTTTTGCTACCTCTTCTAGAGGACTCATTCCACACATACACGCGATGTTGGTCATAACAACAGTCTTTCCCCCGCCGCGGAAGGGGGGGGGGGGTGTGGGTGTACTGGGATAAACACGTCAGAAATGAATGGTTCGTGCTTTGCACCCATGAATTTGACAATGAAATTACCTTTTACCTTCAACTTACACATCAGCTTTGAACCCAGAAACAGCAGCAGAGAGAGCGAAACCAAATAAACCTATTCGAAACCAATTTGAAGAAGCTCCATGTTTATTGAAGATCCCTCACTTTGATAGCTGAACCAATTTACTAAGTCACAACTTGCGTAGTGGCAAACACACATTAGCCAATAGGCCCAACTTCTCGGCCTTATGCGCTTTATGTACAAACTTTGTTGCTCGATTTCATCTTTTGATCAGCAGAGCATCCAATGTAATTTGATCTCGACAAGGACCACCGTAGCATTTGGGTGACTAACTTCTTGGTGCGTTATTAGTCTAGAATTCATGTGGGATGTAAGAGCAACTCCACCATGGCTAATTGCGCTATTGATGGGCAACGAAATCCATTCCCCCCCTCCCCAAAAACCCAATCGAGCAATTGGGCTCAAGGTGAGCTCGAGGAATAAGTCAGGCAAAAGCCTGAACTCTTGAGCGGATGTGACGTAAGGCTGACGTCAGTCATATTATTAAATTTTTTTGGATCAAGCGCATAAACAACACGCATGAGTGGGGGTGCGTTTCTGACAAGGTTTCAGAAAGTGGGGCTTGTGTGGCAGCCCACTCAGTTATTGTTGTCTTGAACCGACGTGGTTGCTTCCAGGCTGTTGGATTTCCATGATAAAAAAAATTTCAAATCTCCCCAATAGCTAGATGACATGGCACAATCTGGACCCCTTGATTTCCAAATCAATGGTCCACATTTTTTCGGCTTAAAAAAAAATTAGAATTGTTACCGTTAGGCCATGTGTCACATTAAGGACAGGTGGATTTCAATTTTTTTTTGTAATCCAATGGTTCACATTAATTAAGTTAATAAAAATTTTAAAAAATATTAAAAAATTAATTAAAAATTTGAAAAAAATTTCATTTTTTCTTAAATTTTAATATTAAAAAAAATAATTTTATTTCTATAAATGCCTTAACATTATCTTCCATCTTACACTACATTTCAATATTTTCGAATACGAAAATCTATCCTCAACGATTCTAAATAGACACTGACATGTGGTCCGACGGAATTGGTTAAAAATCTATTCGAAAATCTATCCACTTGTACCTTTGGATAATAACATATGGTGTGACGAGATCGGTCAAAAATCCTATCCGAAATTAAAAATAAAATTATTATTTTATTATTTTATAAAATAAAAACTACTAATAGTTTAATACGAATTGCCCGTGCTATTTAGTTTAGGGGTGGAGATGCACTTGAGCAATTACTATTCACTGCAGGCAGTTACTATTCATTTAAAGGGATTGAGTTGCCTATTGCCTAGGGAGGCTTCCGATGCTGGAACTGCTCTAAGTAAGTCTTCAATTGAAGGTTAAACCAATAAAAAGCATTTGCATTTCTAAAATCAACGGGTGAAACCTTGGAATTGAAATTCATTTCCAACTCCAAAGGCCAAGACAACAGGGAGGCGAAATCATCTTTTTAAAACTTTTAAAAGCTAACTAGAGGTGCTATTAGCCACTTAGTACTATGGTCTTGTGGTATTCCTCTTCACTTGTAAGTGAAAAAAAAACAAATGGAGTTGCTCTTAGGGTTCATGAAACATTGGTGGCCATCATATTATTCAATTTATGAGAAACTATATAGCAGCTTCATGCTTTAACATGCAATGTAATGACCCGTTTCAAAATTTACATATAAATTGGTTAAAATTACAAAAATACCCCTAATAACGGAAGGGTTGACTTTCCTTTGTCGACATGTTAGAAAATTTCATTTATTTTATTTTCGTAGCTCTCATCGATACGAACGTGTTGGCACAATTGGAATCGAATCCGGAGCTAAAACGAAGCTTTTACAATTTTTGAACGTTAAGGGCATTTTGGTAATTACACAAGTAGAGATATTTCTCCACTTTGGACCTCTAATGGCAGAGACGTGGTGCTCCTTTCCACCATTTTTAGTGCCCTTTTCTCCCCACTCCAGTGGCATCTTTTTCTTTCTAGAATTCTCCCTCTTTCTCTCTCTCGTCTCTACTCTCTTCTCTCATCTCCAGTGAACACACCCACCCACATACATACAGATAACAACCACACCATCATCACCATCATATGGACTTTCTCTTCCCTTCCTCATCCCTCTCCGATCTCACTCTCTCTCTTTCTTGCTCGACATTGTAGCACAGTTACTGTGCTTGCATTTCAATGGCGAGTTCCGTAGTTTGTAGCTAAGGTAAGCACCTAGAACCCCTTTAGATCATGTTTTAGGTTAGATTATGGTAGTTTTGAGAACTTTGGTGATGTTTGAAAGTAGAAACAACTTGATGAAACATTTTTCTAGTTTTCCGACTAATGACCATAGGTTGCAGGCTATTTTTCGACCGATCTCGACCTCGACTGAACCCCATCTTGGTACGACTCGAATCTTTACTCTCTTAGCTTCATTTTGGTTTTTGAATCATTGCAAATGGTGTTCATTTGAACTCGAATGGAGCTCGGAAAGTATTGCCCAGATTATGGCCGAATCCACGTCCTGGAATAGGGTCTACCCAAGCTGTGAACCAAAAACCTAGCCCAATATCCAAACCAAACCTTTGGGCTAGATCCAAACCAATAACCCTGCCTATTAACCTAGTATCCTAGGCCCAACCTATTAGCCCTAAACCGAATCCAAAACCTATAACCCAAGCCTAGACCTGACCTAGATCCGATCCAACTCGGACCCAAACCCAGCTTCTTGGGCCTGCGCATGGGTGAATGTCATGGCTGGCGCATGGAGCACATGCAGCTCTGCTAGAGGTATTGTGCTCCGCAGCCATTCACGGTGGCACCAACGACTTTTCTGGTGAACTTTCTGGCGACCCATCTCAGCTCGTGACCTTCCGGGCCACCGCCCCGTGGCGGCACATGTGGGAATCCGAGGTCCCTCCTTAGGTTATTTGATGTGCCAAATCGTAATCCGTTGTTTGTTTTCCTAAATTCCATCGTTTTAGTAGAGTTTTATTAAATGATCTTCATTTGTGTTTAGGTGCATTGGTTGGAAGTGAACTAGTCCTCCCTAGTTCTAGCGGTTCTCCGGTAACGGAGTACTTGTGAGTGGACACCTTCCTAAATTTCATGTTTTTATAAAACATTAGGCTTGCATGCATTTCATATTTCATGAATGGAGCATAATTTATAATATGTTTTATGGATTCCTATATTTATGATTTATATAAATTGCTTTTATGGAATATTTTTGATTTATCAAATTTATGTTTCACAAAAGGTTATAAATTATTGGATTCTCGTATATGAAAGTCTATGGCTTTCAGATATGATTTTAATATACGGATTTATGAGTATGTGCTATCATGGATTGATGAGTTGAGACTTTGAGCTTTTGAGCTCCAAATTTGGATATGAGATTTTTGAGGTATGGACTTCGGTGCTTATCTAGCGGGTTATCATACAACACATCCACACAACATGGGTATGTAGACGTCTATGGCCATAGGACATAGTTGAGGAGATTTATGATATACCCCCAGCTTCACTGGTGAAACCAGTGTCGGATAGCTTCACTAGCCACGACTAGTGTTGGTGTGTGATGTTATATATTTCTTCTCCGACGTAACCCGAAGTCGTACAGCTTCACCTTTGGGTGATGGGGCCTAACATGTTTCTTCACTGGCGTAACCCAGTGTCGTATAGCTTCACCTTCGGGTGATAGACATGTACTGCCTTCGAACGACTATGATACCCCTAGAGAGTACAATATTGATGAGATTTATGGATTTGCCTTTGGGCGATGATAGCACCATGATTGAGCATTGTTTTATTCATACTTGTTTTTATGAATGATTGCATGGCATGCTAGAGTTTTCGGAAAAAACTTAGTATATGTAGTATATATGTGTTTTCAAAACCCGGGGGGGGGTTAGTATGTTCACAAAGAAAATGGTTTTCGTATTACTAGTATTCTTATAAAGTCATGGTCCACTCACCTTGGCGTTTTTGTGCTCCCTCAGGACATAGTGACGAGGAGTACGACCCGAGCATTGAGGCATTTTCCTACCAATGACCTTGCATCCCTCGACTTGAGTATGGTTCCCTTCTATGATCATTTGTTACTTGATGCTTTACCTTTCTCTAGCATTTTTTGTTTAGTGGTATGCTTTGAACAATGTTAATGCCGTGCAGATATTTTACTTCAAAAAAGCATCAGAAGTTTACAAATTCTAGGAAAAACAAAATTAAGTGAAAGCTACCTCACCTGTAAAATTAAACTTAATTTCAGCATTTGGTCCATTATTGCCCATCTCAATATTACATTTCAATAATTTCTACAGACTCATCACGTCCATAGGCTTCATACTGATCACGTCCACTGCTTTGATCACTCGAACTTGTTTCAGACTCATCAATTGATTCTTCAGGCTCATAACTTCCACTAGCTTCATGTGTTGTTTTTCATTGATTATATGGTTTTGTAAATGGATTTTCTAGAAAATATTGAAGAACACGAAATGAACAATGGTGGTTTTCTGTAAAGGAGAGTACGTTGCTCTCTCTATTTCATTCCTTCTCAGTCTTAGATCCGGTTGCAAGGGAAGCAATCACACATAGTATGATGGAAGAAAATGACAAAATAATACCGTTAGAGCTCGCACGCTTTGCTTGTGTGAGCAAGCTCATGTGCAGCTCACGGTGTCACTTAAACAATATAACAAACTTAGGACAAATGACACTCTCCTTCGTTTAGATGTTTTAATCCTAACCGTCTATTACAAATAGCTTATAAGGTTCAAACCAAGTACACTTGATGCAATTCGAACCACACTATGATGTAATCCAATCCATTCATGAGCAGCATACACCATTCTAAATCTACGCAGTGACACAATTGATTTGGAGAAATTTATACAAGTTCAGATATCATTTTATACTCAATTGCGTCATTGAGTATCTCATGTCCCTGGGAAGCTCAGAAAACTGGCGAAGAGATGTGCAGCCCCATAGACTAAACCAATTAGAGAGTTTCACCTTACACTTGTTGCTTGGAAGTTTCTCAAGGTCTTTGCAATAGCTAATATTCAAGTAAGAAATATTTTCGTTAGACCAAACTGATTCGGGCAACTCCTTTATACCACTGTAAGATAAATCTAAGTATTGAATATTTCCTGGCATCTCTGGAAGACACTTGACACTGGTGCAGCCTCTAAGATCAAGATGAGTAAGCTTGTCAAGATGTTGAATATACCAAGGTATTTCAACCACCCTTGTACAGCCACGGAGATTTATGTTCACAATTTTTAGACTCCTAGAGAGATTTGGAACTTGAGTAAGATTTTCAGAGCATGCCAGATCGATCACTTCTAAGTTCACAAGTATCTGCAACACATTAAATAGCAATATAAGAATTTATAAAATTTCTACACATCATTTGATACAAGAATTAAAATAGGCATATAATTTACCCGGTCTTCTTTCCAGAGCTTCTTAACTTTGCTAAATGGCATATGAAGCTCAACTAGATTTTCGGGAGAAAAATTTGAAGGCAAAGGTTCCATTGAATAATAAGGCCAGTAAAGATAACGAATAGAATCGGGAAGGTCTAGAGAAATGGTGAAATCCCAGTAATTACCAAACTCCTCCACAATTAGCATTATTAGGTTACACATCTTTTTGAAGTCTACACGTTTCGATCGCTGCTCTTTAATCTTAAGCCAATTAACCCGTATGGCTTCAACAATTGGAGTTTCCTGACAATAAGAGCAAAGTTTAGATATGAATGTATATGTTTTTAACAAGTTAAAATGTAATGCACATTTGGAAAAAGAATTCTACAAAGTTCTAGAGTATTTGCGGTGGCAATGCTGTACAAGTGTCTAGTAAAATATCCAACGATAATTGTATCCGCCTTTACTTGCCTAAAAAAACAAACATTTGTTCAAATTTCAAAGACTTAACACAATAAAAATTCAATCAAATTAATTTTTTAAGAATTTGACTTCTTTATTGAGTTTTACTTTGGTGCATTATCATCTAAAGTTTGCTATTTATTTTTTTTTAAAAAAAGAAAATAAAAAAATTGAAAGCAATTGGTTCTTACTGTGTTACTCTCTAGTACACAATTGACATCTTCATCAGTGAACAACCTTTTCCGTTTACTAGGATCTTCAATACATTGTTCTTGAACTATTGCCCTTCCCATTTCTTGTATCAAATCGTGCATCTCTATGGTTTCATAAACATAACCTTGACAAACTGATATGAGAGACATATCAACGAGAACTCTAATTCCGATTGTCGCAAACCGTCCACGGATAGCTAACATTTTTTCTACCTCATCCACTTTCTTCCCTTTATGAAAACATGCTATATCCAAAAATATCTCCTTTTCATTTCTTCCCAATCTATCATAACTTAGTCTCAACACTCTATGGAGCTTTTCGTTGGGAAATGCTTTCAATTTGTCCAATTCATCTTCCCAGTCTTCTTTTCCCTTGCAATTTAAGAGTGAGGACCTCAGAAGCTTAAGAGCTAAAGGATTGCCCCCGGCACAATCCACTGCCTTTTTTGCCATCTGCATATAATCCGTTCTAAGAGTATTGTTATTCTTGCAAGCACGCGAATAGAAAAGCTGAAGAGCATCATCCTCTTTTAATCCCTTAACCTCGTAGATCTTATCCTCTTCAACAGTTTGCCTCAGTGTGGCCCTATCTCTACTTGTGATAATGATTCTACTTCCAGTGCCATACCGAAGACGCTCGCCAGCTAAATGTTCCATTTGCATTGAATCACTCACATCATCAAGAACAATGAGGACCTTTATACGGCTGAGCCTATTTCGAACAAAAGTTGATCCTATGGATGGACCTTCTTCCTTTAATATCTCTTTAAGAAGTGTCTTTTCCAAGTGATCTAGTCCATTTGTTTGTTCTGAGTTCTCCCTAACATTTCCAAAAAAACAAGAAGCTTCAAATTTAGAAGAGAATTTGTCAAATACAGTTCTAGCAAGGGTGGTTTTGCCAATACCACCCATGCCCCAAATACCTATAGTGATGCAAGCATCCTGTGAATGGATGCTCAATAGCGATTCAATTTTCTCGATGCGGCTTTCAATTCCAACCAGGCCTTCTAAATTGCATGATGATTCATGATAGAATTTGGTCGAAATATCCTCTACAACTTTCTTAACCAAATCAGCATCCGTCCTGGCATACATACATATATATATATATATATATATATATATATATATGATTATGTAGGAAAAAACAATAGTTAGTCTTAAAACAAGTATTTGTGCTCGTGCGTTGAGACAGGTCGAGAAATTTGTCACGCAAATACAGAAATATATTAAAAAATTTAATACCATATATTTGTGCAAGAAAAAGAAATCTTGTTCATTCTCTCCTCCAAATGTTAAAGTAAATATTAAAATATAAATACTTGTCTTCAACAACTTTACAACTAAGTGTGCTTACACATTATAGCATTCAACCCACTATCTATTTGATGAAAATGAACTTGCCTCACTAATGGGGAAAATTTGGAAAAACAACCAAGTTTTGCCCATATAGAATTATAGCCACAATTTTTAATTTTATGATAAATATAAACCAAAACTTGATATGAAAGTACTAATATACCCCTCCATTTTATGGATTCTCACAATAACCAAAACAAAAACCTATAATATTGCAAATTTGAATATAGATAGAGAGTTTTCAGAATTTCCACATTATTTTTCGTAAATTGGCATCAAGTTGAGAAATTAATCTCTTATCACTTTTTTGTTTTCAGTATTGTATGTAACCTTTAAACTACCTTCGGAGGTCTGCAATCTTTAACTACACCTTTGAATGTGTGCAACCTTTAAACCAGAATCGAAGCATGAATTTAAAAAAAAAAATTGGAAAAATGAAACCCCTTTAAGTAATAAATCTTTGAACACTAATTCATAAATAATTAGAAAGCACAAAGCTCTGAAAGTCAATATATTAAACTAGCAAAAATATCATATAAAGGAGTTCAACGGTGCAGAAATCCGAAGGGTTGCAAAAATCGTGTTCCACCGGATTTCTAATCCCCACGTACCGGATTTCTAATCTCCACTGCCTTTTTTATCAACTACCTTGTTTCTTGCAGAAATCCGGAAGGTTTGACCCCTTCTTTCTATTTGCTTCTTAATTCATGCTTTGATTCTTTCTGGTTTAAAGGTGCATAAATCCCGAAGGTTGCAGAAACCTTGAACAAAAGGTGCATAAATCCAGAAGGTTGCAGAAAGTTGTTCAAAAGTTGCAGAGAATAATCTAAAGTTCCAGATACTTAAATGGTCACAACTAATTACAAGCATGGCCAAGGAATAGGGCCACCCCTCCCAAACCCACAAAAAAAAAAAAAAAAAAAAAAAAAAAAGAAAAAAAAAAAAGCAGTTTCGTAATTAAAACTAAAGTTCCAGATACTTAAATGGTCACAACTAATTACAAGCATGGCCAAGGAATAGGGCCACCCCTCCCAAACCCACATAAAAAAAAGAAAAAAAAAAAGAAGCAGTTTCGTAATTAAAACTAAATCACACCCCCTCCACACCCCCCCCCCCCCCTCTCTCTCTCTCAATTGTACTGTATACGTCCCCAAGTTTTAGAATAGAGTACAAATCAAAGAGTCAATAGTTTAAAGAAAATTTATAACTTTAGACAAGTTAAGGGATGAGTTATTACCCATATTTTTGGGACTCAAAGCCAGATAGATTGGCTGCCGTCCTCAAAGCATCCCTCCACTTGTGCACCTTGTCGAGTCTGTCCTTGAATCGCTTTTCATGTTGAGCAAATGCATCTGCATAACTCCCGTGTTGTTTTCGTAGATCAGATGGATCGATGTCGTAGAATACGGGTATAACCTTCTGGCCATATTTTTTCTTGCATTTGAGTATATGCACAAGTTCATCCAAACACCATGTGGATGAAGCATAGTTTTGTGAGAAAATGACCACCGAAAGCGTGGATTTCTCGATTGCCTCTAGAAGGGCAGGTCCGATTTCTTCTCCTCTCTGAAGTCTGTAATCTATGTAGGTTTCAATTTTCTTCTGCTCCAAGGCCTGCTGAAGATGGCTGGTGATGCCACGGCGGGTGTCCTCACCTCTAAAACTGATAAATACATCATACATTTCCGGACGAGGGGGGATACTAGATTCAGTACCATCATCATCGTCATCACCAGCAGCAGCAGCTGCAGCAGATGACGGAGAAGAAAATGTTAACCAGCTGCAGCACATTTTCAAGATAGTCATGATACACTCCATCTGTTTCTGTGTTTCTCTGGAGGCACTAACAATGGACTTGTAACTTGTAAGTACAAAAGAAGAGAAAGAAGCTGAGTGTTTGATAATATATCAAAGAAAGAGAACGCATACTTTAAATGAAAGAGATTTATTAAGTTATTGAAATTAGTATGGTGCTTCGGAGTATCGTATACGGTATTTCCTAGAAAATCATCAAAGAGATGATGGAAAAGAACAAAAAACCCCAGCTCACCTTTACCTTCCGCTCCATAAAAAGTTCAACGCGTTCAGACACATGAAGAAAGACAAAATTAAGGGAACATCATCATCAGTTTATATCTTTTGATCAGCAGAGCATCCAGTGCAAGTTAATTTCGACAAGTACTAACCGACACCTGGCACGTCAAGGCAGCGTCTAGATTATGCACTTTTTGGTGCCTTATTAGTTTAGAATGTCACAGTAACAATACGTGTTGTAATTGAAAATAAAACCAATCTAAAGCATTGAATTCGTAAATCAACTAGCTGATACCGTGAAATAGAGAAAACCCACCTCCAAATCAGTTTTGGTTGAGTCTGATTTTGAGGAGTAAGAAAAAAGGTGGAGGAAGAGAGGTAAAGTGGGGAGGCTGGCAGTGTGAGGGGAGGAGTTGGCTGGGGTCGTGGCTGCTGGTTTTCCAAGCTGTTTTTTTATTTTGTCAAAATGGTTTATATGGTGTTTGCTATTTTATACCAGCAATATTGGAGGAGAGGGAAATTAGACATTAAACTTTGTCCTCATATAATTCATGTTTGTGGAAGAAACATAGCGGATGCAATAACTGAACTGAGGTATTGTATTTTGTTTTCACATTTTCCTAAATATGTTACAAAATACATGTAGTATAACTACATGTCCATTAAGATCCCTAGAGGATCATCGTTGTGATTACAACTTGTTTAGAAAACAAAGTTCATGGAAGAAACAACATCTTAAGTTCAATTGTCCGCAAACAATATCATCTAAGTCAAGTTTGAGAACCTTGGTCGAATGATTTTTCAAGCCCAAAACACAACTCTAATTGGCTTGTTTGTAAATTGAAAATTGAAATCTAGATTTTGGTAGGTTAGCTTAATTAGCTCGATTTTGGTTGAGCTCGAACTTATGTTTTGCTTGACTTAATGAAAATTAAAAAATGATAAAAATAATAAATCATTGAAATTTTGAAATTTTTCTTGGTACATTTACTTGCACATTGAAGGGACTCTGGTTTAGGCATTAGGTCTTGGATGGTCAGTTTCGATTTTTTTCTCGATTTTTTTCTCAAGTAAGTAGCATGAAGATGGCTAGTAATAGTACGGCGGCTGTCCTCACCTCTGAAACTAATAAACACATCGTACCTTTTCAGATTATTAACATTGTCAGGAGCAGCAGTGTATGAAGAAGAAGAAGAAGAAGCCATATCCATAACCTCATGACTAAGTTATGTCAACATCTTGTGATGATTTTTTTTTTTAATAAAAAGAGAGAGACGAAAAAGGAAAGTGAGACAAGAAAAAAAGGGGGGGGGGGGGGGGGGAGAAGGAGAGGAGATTAGGAGAAGGGAGAATCATACTCTTTAGTTTTCAGATCAAGGAAGTAGTTGCAGAGAGATTTCTTATTAGAGAAATGCTAAGGAAACTCTCAAAGTGAGACTCTCTATGGATTCTCTTTAATCATAGAGAAAGAGACTAGTTTAGAATTAAGGAGGATCCAATGAAGCAAGAGAGAGAGAAAGCAAGGGGCCCTCTACCACATAATGGAGATGAGTGTTTCCCTTGCATCACAATGTAAGTTTGAACTCCATTAGCTTCCTAATCTAACAAATCTATCATTTGACCAAAAAAAAAAAAATGAAGCAAGAGAGGGAGAAAGAGAGATTAATTCAGAATTTACTTAAACTAGCTTGGTTTGGACCACATGCACAAACCTCCAAACTCATTCAGGAAAATCAATGAGTGACAGATGAACAAAAGTAGGAAAAAGGGGCACATGGGATGGGGCCTCCCTTTACGCGGTATACGTACAAAGTTTTGAATTTTCCTAGTTAGTTAGTTAATGTCCAATTTCTTTCAAGAAATTTTCAAGCACTTTCGATTGAGTACATTTCTATAATTTCTCATAAAAAAAAGGTACGTAAATTTCAAATTATAAAATAATGAAGGGCTAAGAATATAGTTGTTCAATAGTGGAGATTGCCTAAGATTTGGAATGGGTAACCAATATTGTTTTAAAAATCCCCGCCTAACGCTGCCTAGGGCCCTCCTAAGCGTTAGGTGGTTGGCCACCATTCCGATTAATGCCTAGACGTTTGAAAATTAAGAAAGGGCACCTAGACCTGCTGAGGCGCCCACCTAGACCACCTAGCCTGCCCAGATTCACCTAAACACTTGCCTATGTTGCAACTGACTTAGATAGAAAATAGATAACTTTCCTTTTGTATTTTATTGTTTCCAATAAATTGTAAGAGACTTATTGAACACTTAAATAAACACACATGATATGTTTGCTCCCCATGTTTTCATTATGTTCCAATACTTCATAATATATATGTCATTCTATTTTCTAGTTTATGATGAAATTATATATATATATATATATATATATATTAAGTATAAACAGACACTTATTTACACGAAATACAATATATTTACTTAAATCCGCCTAATCTGCCTAGGCGCCTGCCTAGGCTCCACCTGACCGCCTAGGCGCTAGGCCCCAGCCCACCGCCCAACTAGCGGCTAGCATATTTTAGAACCTTATTAAGAGTCTAATACCTATTTAGTTTGATTTCACCATAATAAGGTATTATACAATCATCACCACTACCAATATCACCACCATATTATGGTGAAATCAAACTAAACTGATCTTATGGTTACTCATTAACAATTCAATGAGTTGATTTCTCACCTTTATTTTTGAGGCTATTGAGAGATCATAAGAAAGTTTAGAGCTCATCCAAAAATTATGTGCCTTGGCCCAATTGAGAGAGCCATGATACACACTCTCTCTCTCTCTCTCTCTCTCTCTCCCTCCCTCCCTCCCTCCCTCCCTCCCTCCCTCCCTCCCTCCCTCCCTCCCTCTCTCTCTCTCTATCTATATCTAGGTAGAGTGGGCATAAAAACCACTGAATTGGAAAACCAAATCGACTGATGACCATATTAAAAAAAATTGAAAAAAAATTATGTTGACCAAAAAAGTCAAAATCGAGTCAAGAACTAAACTGGACTGGCTCAAACCGGTTTTTGTCCTAGTTTTGTAGTACTAGGAACCAACCTAAACCGAACCAGACCAGAATTATAAATATATATTTAATTTTATTAGTTTTATGAATGTATGTATGTATTTAACCAGTATCTATAAATGTATTATGTGTATATGTATGTAAACCATGTTCTGTACTCTTTTAACTAGTATTGGAGCAATGAAACAATATATTACACGTTATGTACACTTTATATCTTCAGGTTAAAAATCTTGTATATCTAGTAGAGGGAACTCAAATTTACTTGAATTTGTGGTTGAAATAGATTTTAGTAATAAATCTAAGCGAAGGTGGACTGAACCGGATGTTGCCCACTGCTATATCTAGGCACTAAACTAAGAAGAGACATTGAGAGGTAGAAACTGAGAAGCAAGCAACAGATGAGAGAGTAGTTGTCCGCAGAGACTAGACCAATTGTACTAGTTTGACTTGACTACACAAAGTTACAAAAGTTTTATAGTGCTCGGGATACCCCATGAAAATCATCAAAAGATGATAAAAGAACCAAAAAAAAAAAAAAAAAAAAAAAGAGAGAATTCAAATTACCCAACTCAAGCACCTTACCCTCCGTGAACAGAACACACATGAAGAAAATCAAATTAAGGCCACATCATCATCAGTTCATTAAAGATAACAAGTCACAAGTCAAAAGTCACCCTTTGTGCGCTTACGTACAAAGATTTTATTTCCTTCCACTGGTTTCAGCTTTGATCAGCTGACTATCCCATGAAATTTAATCTTCACAAAGACAACTAACTTACACCTGGTGGGTCATTCGTAGCACCCAGGTCACAAACTTGTTAATTCGTTACTAACTCAAGATGTCACGGCAACGTATTGAATGTACATAACTCTTTAATTAAAGATAAAAGCAAACCAAAACATTCAAAAATGGACGACCAAACCTTGAGATAGAAAACACACCCCTCCCAAATTGGCTTCGGTGAACTAGAGTTTACTTGATTAGGAGAAAAACAAGTGGGGGATTACCCATTACCCATATAATTAGGGCATTTTTCTCCTACTCACTATATAAAGCACTAATAATAGACTTGTAACTTGTAAGTACAAAAGAAGAGAACGAAGGGAGTACTTAATAATATATCAAAGAAAGAGAACAGAATATTTGAGATGAAAGAAATTTATTAAGTTATTGAAAATTTTATGGTGCTCGGGACTATTGTTTTTCGGGCCCGATTTCTGGGTCCGGCCCCTTGCACAGTTCCCTGAGGAAATAGCACGTTCTTGCCTATCGGGCAAGATCTTGTTGCTGGGTGTATTGCAAGATGAGTTTACAGTTAATTTGAAAGGTGCCTTTGTAGGACCTTTGGTGTAAGCCTTGAGGCTCACAATCAAAACTAACAAAGATCTGAGCGTGCCACTATTATTTTTATATAATAGATTGTTGAGTGGAAGTAATTTAAGTTGATTGCTTACGTCCCAAGTTACTTCAACTTCTTGTTATCAAAGGATTGTCACCAAGTTTCTAAAAGACGCTAGGCACTAATCAGGCGACGGGTAAGGGTCTAGGGCCTAGGCGGATTTATGTAAATTTATTATTTATCTTGTAAATAAGTGCTTATTTACACCTAAAAAAATACTATATTTCTATGTATAATAAAAGAATGATAAAATGAAAAAATAAAAGTAGATGACTAAAGTATATACATCCAAAAAGACATAACCCAAAAAGGCCTTGTATGTTTAATTATTTACAAAGAAAACCCTAACCTAAAGATGATAAAAGATTCGACAACAACTTCTAGATATTTTGTTTAATTTATTATATATTCTCAATCCATTATTTTATTAAACAAGTCTTTTTCTTTATTCATTGAATCATTTATGACAACCAACTCTCATCTTCTTTTTCTTTATGCCGTCAATTCCAAAGTCTCCATCCCTTATCTTCACTTCTCCATCAAATTGTAGATACCTTTGTTT